CCTGAAATTCTCAAAAACCCAAAATAGGGGGGGACTAATGAAGCCAGAAAGAAATGACTAAGGAAGGAAAAGCACTTGAATGGGGGAATTGTCGGTGGTCCAGACTCCTCACGCTAAACCGGGGCTCATCAAGACAGGGAACTTCCACCAGGCCATATGCTCCACAGGGTCACAGACAGGGGATCCCACCAGGACCGCCTACCAGCCTGCCTCCCCGCAGACAAAACACAGTTGGCACTGACATCTTCTGGATCCTGAGCTCCCCTGGCCCTCAGCAGCCCCAGTATTGACCTAAAGGGCAATAGGGGTCCAGAGGAAGTTGGGCATCTCTATCTAGACCATCTGTAATCCTACAGAAGGACCACAGGTTCTGCAGGAACCAAGGAGAGGCACAGCAGCTTCTCCCTGCGGGAAGGATAGATGGACTTGGGTATGATGATATACCTTGAGAGTCAAGGCCATGCCCCAAATGAAGACTTGGGGACTAAAGACAGCCAATCCCCGCCAGGCATCCGGAAGCCCTCGGGCGTCCATCTGTGGTGCTTTCAGATGCCAGCAAACGGTGAAAGTTAAACCCAAGCGCAGCGATGTGTGTGAGAGTGCAGAATTGCCGCTGATGTCAGACAGGGGTATCTGCAAAGGGACAGGACTACCCTAACCTGCTGTGCAGCAGGACACAGTTCCCGCACGTCAACCCAAGCACAGAAACAGCAGAGCTCAGTTGGGATGTGGGGACGTGACGAGTGCCCCATGCACTTTTTCACACATACACAGAGACAGCGCGAGCCCCGCACTTGGGGTCTCAGGTCCTCTGCAAGAGCAGCAAGGGCTCTCAACCACTGAGCCATCTCCCCAGTCCCTCACTGTGCCTTGTATGCCCTGGTCCCCCTTGCCCTGGGCATGAGCCGCACAGCAATTCTGGGCATACGTATAACAAATCTCTCAAGCTGGTGGGCAGACGCCACCCACACGGCCCTGGGGCCCGGAAGCTCTACTTGTCCAACCCATTTTCACTGTCTCGCTTTATAGGCAGAGCTTGAACGGAGTGAGCATAAAGTGGTTTAGCTTGACTCCCATCAAAGGCTGTAATGAGAAGCCCATAAGTCTTGTAAATAGGTGACAAGACAAGTCTTTAAAACAAATGGGGTAATAACTTAATCACACATACGAGCGGAGGCGTGAGATCGGGGCTGGCTGTGACTAGGGCTGCTCCCTGGGATCCAGGAGCCACTGATGCCTGCTTCCAAAGGCTTCTGCACCCACCCCAGGAATGGAAGCATGATGCATGAGCCACAAGTACCCACAGACTCAAACTCCTGGCCTACGCTGACCCTTCTGGAAAACCCAAGAGGGAAACCCATTGAAGGAGGCTGCCTGAGCTCAGGAAGTTGACACCCAGTACTAAGCAGTTGTTTGTAACTGTCTGACTCCAGGACCACGGTGTTCTCCCTTATGAGAAACCCCAGAACCATGAGACATAAGGACACACTCTTGTGGTCACGGCAGCACCCTGGATCTGCCCTCAGCCTCCAGCCAACAGCCTCTGGTACCTCCATCGGAAGTGGACGCGTCTCATGCACTCCTCACAACAGGCTCAGCGGCCGACCTCCGCTCCCCATCCCTACCCCATCCGTATCCTCACAGCTCATAGCATTTATGGGTGAAGAGCTTGCACTCCTGAGCCCACTCCCAAGCCGGGGAAAGGAACAGTGCTCTTTTTTAGAGATGGACAGACAGAGGCTGTACAGAGCATGTGGCTTTGCCAGAATCCGGTCACAGTCCACTGCGGCTCTGTCCGAATCTGGGGTTGCAGGGCACCAGTGCAGGCTCTGCCTCTGAGCACTCACAAGCTGGCTGGAGAGAGAGAGAGAGATGGAATTTCTGTTTAATAATTCGGGACCAAGGTTTATCGCAGATAATTGAATTGGGAAGGAAAGCGACGGGCAGGGAGGACGGTGGTAGCATTAGGCTAGTTGAGTAAAGGACATTGAGAGTTGACAAGCAATCCCCGAGGCTGGGAGTAGATGTCCAGGTCTTGAGTCTGTCCTCCCTCAAGGACAGTGCCCTGAGCATCCGGTAGATATCATTCCTGCCCTGCAGGAAGCGTCTCCACCCTGCGCCCTGAGCATCTAGTAGGCACCACCTCTGCTTGGCACATGGCACCTCCACTCTGAAAGATACCAGCTCGGAGCCCATAACTCATACCCAGTAGGCAGATGATTTTTCTTCGGAGGCATTGGGGTAAATAAAGGCTTAATGAATCAAGCCTTTGGAATTGCTGCTGTTCCTTTAATTTGTAGTTTACAAGGTTCTTGTAAATTAAAAATGGGAAAAGAAATCCCTTCCCATCCCGCATGTACCTCCTCCAGGCAGGAACAATTTGGTTGTTTTGATTTTCTTGTCCCTAAAGCCCTTATCTCTTTGAAAAATTATTCCTTAATTTTTATGAGGTGGCTGGGAAGACTGGCGGATTGAGCGATGGCTCTGTGTCTTGTCCTCCCTCTCCTTCGAGTTCACTGCGAGCCGTTATTGTTCCCCGGGCGGAGAATAAAGGTGGAAATACTCACCTCTAATTTACTGTTTGCAATAAGCAGGGCTTTATCAACAGCCCCCCAATAAATTATTTTTACTGCCAGCCTCCCACTGCCACGGGCAATGGCCATGAAAACATCCATGTCTGGAGAATGTAATCACACGGGCCTCAGGGACATTAGTGAGCTGGGAGCCTTACATAGAGGAGGGATACTGGGTGGGGACAGGGGTCACGGGGTGGGAATGAGGGGCACAATCTTCCTGGCCCTGCCACAGGGGGTGAGAGAGGCCCAAGAGGATTCAGCAAGAAAACGACCAAGAGATGAGGCTCGCACAAGCCTAGGGGCCACCAGCTTCATCCCATCAGCATCCGTGTGGGGTGGGGTGAAGGCAGAGGATGGGAGTCAGAGGCTGTGCCAAGGCCTAGGGACCTTCAGTAGAAGGAAGAGAACTGGACTGTTCTTAGAGCTTTGGGGCCTGCAGACTGCAACAGGTGTCCCCCTTCCCCCCGCTACTGCGCACGGGCACACGAGAGTGTATTGTGTGTGAGTGTGTGTGTGTGAGTGAGTGTGTGTAAATGTGTGTGAGTGAGTGTGTGTGAGTGTGTGTGTGAGTGTGTGTGTGTTACTTTCTACCTCTCTGCTTCTCTGTCTCTTTCACTCTTTCTCATGTATATTACTATTTCCAGTCTCTCTGCCTCTCCCTGTTCCTTTCTCCCTCCCCTTCTCTCTCTCTCCCTCTCTCTTTTCTCCTCTCCTCTCCTCTCCTCTCCCCTCCCCTCCTCTCTCTTCTCTCTCTGTCTTATCTGGGAGTCACATGTGAAGTTGTGACATCCCAGGCATGCGATCTGGGGCCAGCATTGAAACCCCCCAACACTCTGACTGAGCCAAGGGAATCATAGATCCACTCCTTCAGATGCCCGGTGGACCTTATTTTCAAGGAAGGTGGGTGGAGAAAGTGCCCTGCCCCACTGGGGGATCTTGGGGGGAATTTCGTCACCTTTATGACTATTCAGAGCAATCACTGACTGAGAACCTGTAGCTGGGTCCTGCCGTTACCACCCCAACGGCGTGCCTTGCTTGATGAGTAAAGACCCATCCTGACATCTCAGACAGCTTTAATTATAGCTTTTCAACCTAGCAACCTCATAGTTTGTTGCTCTGACTACTCCCCCTGTCTGACATCATACACCATGGGGTCAGGTCCAGGAGAGCTCCACTCCCCTTAGGTGGAGAGATGAGGTTTTCAGTGAGCTGCTGGAGTAGGCGGGGCTGGGTAAGGTCATAGACACCCTGCAGATAAGCATCTCCCTCAGCGTGCAGCTGCCCCCATGTTGGAGAAGGGCTCGCCAGAGCACTGTGCTCTGGGATAGGGCCTTCTCCCTGCTCCCCAGGAAGCTCTCCATCCAGTTCACCTGTTTGCATTTTTTCCTAGCAACAGACACCCTCCCACTAACCAAAGGCAGTGTGTCAGCCTCTTGGAAGTCAAAGGTGCATGAATCCAGAGTCCAGAACACACTGTTCTTACAGAGGACCTGAGTTTGCTTCCCAGCACTCATGTCTGGCAGTTTATAGCTGTAATTCCAGCTACAGAGGAGCTGGTGCCCTCTTCTGGCCTCTAAGGGTCTCTAGACTCATGAGCGCATGACACATAGAGAAACACAAACACATAGTAAAAATTATATATATATAAGTTCCAGATATTTAAGATATATATATATTTGTATTTAAGATATATATATATATATATATTAAAATTCCAGCCATGTCACCTTGGACACCCAAAGAACACAGTGTCAGCAGGTCACAGAGGCACCTGCTGCCCATGCTTGCTGCTGCAATGTAGGAGAAACTGCAGTTGGACTACCCAAGCCGCAGCAGCCCTGTCCCCCCCGCACTCCCCAGTCCAAGCCAGCCTGCATGAGGCACTTTCTCCCTGAGCCACGCCCACCTCTATCCCCAGAGACTGCTGAGGAAGAGACACCTGATCCAGGTACACCAATGAGGAAAGGACTATTCAGCAGAGTCAGCGCCTGAGCCAATGGGACCTTGGGAGGGGGTATAAAGGCAGGCCTAACTTCCTTAATAAATGAGTCTGCAAGCACGCCCTGCTACTCACTGACTCCCAGTGCCTGAGTCGTTGGTGCTGCATCTTCTCACCCCCTCCCCCAAGGGGTGTCCGAGCAGGGACACCCGAAACAATGCAGTATGCACAACAGCCAGCTATTCCGAGCCCGTCTAAATGCCATCAGCAGGAGAAAGAGAACTAACACCTGGAAGCCAAGAGGATCAGGACTCCAAGGTCATCTTAGGCTGCATAGTAAATTTGAAGCCAGCTCAGTCTACATGAGATCCTTTCTCAAATTGGCGGGGAAAAAAAAGGCATGTGCGTGTCTCACACATACATGCACTGGAATACTATTCAGCCACAAAAAAAAAAAAGAATAACATCCCATCACTTGCAGCAAAATGGATGAACTGGGGAATGGTATGTCAGGGCTTTTTAAATTAAATCTCAGAGACTTGCTACAGTTACAAGGAGGCTGAAGGGATCTTAAGGCACATTGACATATCATGCAAGCAAAAAGCAAGGGAATTAGACGCTTTAAACAGAGAGTCTGTATGCAAGGAGAAATCGCAGCCCACCGCCTGCCGTTGTAACAGGTGACATTTATTCGGCTGCAAAGACAAAGATGTTGTCTGCCAGTCTTAACCTTGGGTTTTGGAGTGAATCTATGGTGACCCTTGGAGAGTTACTCTCAAAGCAGGGATGAGGGTGCTAATACAGCCGACCACAGAAGTGACATTAAACTTCCTCCCCAGGAGCGAGTGAAGGGGAGGAAAGAACTATTTCACATGTGGCCAATTCCCTAGAGGGGGATCCACACTGCTCTGCAGGTGGTGTGGTGGGTAGTTAAGCTGGGGACTTTGAAGTCTGACTGTCTCAGATCCACTCCAGGCTCTGACGCTGGAATCTTTGGGAGACTAGACAAATTATTCCGCTCCTTTCTGCCTGAATTTGGTCATTTGCATGTCACCTGACGGCATGAAGTTTCCATGGATTAAATAGTACATACAGGAAAATTTTTTTCAGAAAATTTTAAAAAGCACCTCAATGCCCAAACTTTGTAAATGTGTGATGTAATCAGGCACTTTTATTTTTTTTAACGTTTGTAAAGAAAAAAAGGAGGGCGGGACTTCAGTTAGCTGCTTCCAGAAGCTAACCCTGCCGGGTGGGCCAGCCCTCAGCCAGACACTCATAGATCCTGTGCTGGCAATTGCTCTTCAGCCACTGTGTAGGGGTGGCTTTTCCAAAGCTACCCCCAAGGACTTCAGCCTTGTCTGTCTTTTAACCTAGCCTTGCTTATTCGTGGTAGCCAGAGTCCGCGAGTTGCTCTGGAGATCTGAGCTACAGTCACCCCCTGCAGATGAAGAAGGGAGCTCTGCAAAGCCGCAAGAGGCTTTCATTAAACCCCGAGATTCCTGCAAAGGGAGCAGCGCATCCCACCTGGACCCCTGCGCCCCGTGGGCAAACCTCACGGTAAACCGCAGGTCAGAAAATTAAGTGAGAGTTTGCGCCTGGCAAAATAATGCAAGACCAAGGTCTCATTAATTATCCTAACTAGCAGGCTGGACCAGTCAGAGGGAGAGAGGCAGAGCCGTGGCGGCAATCTCAACTCCACGTGCCCCTGTAATTAGCTCATCCATAATTGAAAACCCCGCTCCCATCCAGTTGGCTCTCGTTAGTCAAAATCACATCTGTCACAACTCCACAGGTTGTTTTCAACAAATTGGGCTTCTTTTGCTCAAAGCCCTGTTTTTATTTTTTAAAAAATGTGTCCTATACAACGTGTCAAGCACAGGGACAATTTTCGTAAGATGAATGGGGCTTGGTCATGGTCTTTTCTTTAATGCTATTAAGATGTTCCAGGCCCAGTGGTGTTTCAGAGGGGCATGCTGTTCTGGCAGCTCACCGAGGGCCAAGAAGTTACTAACCTCAGCAGACAAGACTGGGTCCCCCTAGCTCTCCCCAGGGGGGCTTCCTCCCCGGGAGGCTTCCCCTTGCCCAACACCCTTGCCAGGGAAGACCTTGGGGTCCCTGAGGCTCTTCTTCTAGGCCCTCAGCCCCAAGCTCTGATCCTCCCTACAGGTTTCAGTGAGGGACACAGGGCCCAAGACCCTACCCAAAACCTTACTCCAGACATGCGATTGTTAGCACAAGTCCAACTCACACCCCATGTGCTACATGTGCCCTGACACAAAAATCACGAACATGCTTAAAACATTATCAGATTTTTTTGCAATTTTTTTCTTATAACTTAATTATATGGCAAGCAAGAGTTTTATGGACGATAATATCTGTCAGAGCCAAAGGGTTAGACACACTTATGAGAGATTCGGGAAGGGCATACTGTGTGCCTTACCCGGAGTTGACTACTCTGCACCAGGGAGCCTTTGACTGACTGTCTCCATTTTCTTGCTATGTGCCAAATTCTTGACTAGCCTGACTGGTTGGCACAGATGTGGCTTCTATCTTGGCAGTGTGCTGTGGTTCAGCTGGTAAATATCTGTTCCCTTGCGCTGCCAGCGTGTGGCGCCATTTCAAGAAACGTCCACTCTCTTCTTGCATCCCTGGGTTTCTCACTTGGCACTGTGAGGACCCCCAGGCCCGCCCCACCACCTTCTATCACACAGCCTCAAGAAGGTAGGTGCACATTCCTCCCTCCCAAAGGGTGGCCATTCTCATCTCATCCCCAGCACCCCCTCCCCTGGGCTCCCAGCAGCCTCTGATCACAGCGATACAATAATCATTTTTGTGGGGGGTGGGGGAACCCTTCACGCCCCACTCCCACCCAGAAGGCGCTGCCCTGGATACTTTCACGCTGCTGCCGCAAAACACCTGACCAAGGCATCACAAGGAAGAAAGAGTTGGTTATGGGTCGCCCTCAAGTGAGCACTTCATCGAGATGGGGAAGGCAGGAATTTGAGGCTCTGGTCACACTGTGGAAGTTGAGACAGGAAGAATTAATTGAGTCTGGCTCAAATTCAATCTGGCAACCTCCCTCCCCCCAAAAAATAAAGATATAGAGCAGGGAATGTGTGTGCTAACACTCCATCATTTGCAAGATAATTGAGCGTCTTAAGGGCTTGGTACCTTTGTATTGTCCTGAACCCTATGGCTTCAAGATAGGGCTACTTGCCCAACACTCCTGTCCACTTGGTTCTTCCAGGAAAGACTTCCAGGGCAAGGAAACAGGAAACTGTAGAACGGACCCAAAGTGGATGCTGACCTAAGGTTGCCAGAGACCTTAGGTCAGTGCCTGAGACCTCCCCCTTGTGGCCATGTCCTGTCACCACAGCCTCCAAGCTCCAACACTTGCTCTCAATCATCGCCCTGGGACCTGGGAGACTCTTGAGTTCAGTGGGCAGGGCCTGGGCCAGCATGTGTCAGCCCTGGTACACTTCTAGAATAACACACCACCCCAATGGGGTTCCTTTATTGATGCTTCTCCTCTGGAGCATGTTCTAGCAGAAACTTTTTTCTTTATTCGGATGTTATTTTATGTGTATATAAGTGTTTTTGCCTACATACCTATGTGATCACTGTGTACATGTCTGGTGCCAGAGGAGGCGGGAAGAAGGTATCAGAGACCCTGAAACTGGTGTCATGCATAGCTGTGAGCTGCCACGTGGGTGTTGGGAACAGAGTCCAGGTCCTTTGCAAGAGCAGCGAGTGCTCTTAGCTCTAAGACTTCTTCTCTCCAGCCACTGGAATCTGTTCTAACACCAGAAAGCACAGAATGAGTCATGGGAAAAGGAGGGCCTCCAGACTCTCCCGGTTCAGGTTCTAACCATCCAGTGCCACGTGTTATGGTGCTCAGGCTGTCATTTCCTAAAAGATGGCCACCAGCGTGGAGCTACACCCTTGAGGAAGGCCTCCCTCACGAGTCTCGGGAGCAGGAGGATGCCAGATGGGGCTTGACGCAGATCTAGCCACTCCTGAAAAGACTCTGGCTTCCAGCCCCCACCGCTGCAACACACAGCAGGGGACCCTCCCAAACCATGGCTCAAGGTGTAGGATTCTGACCATTTTGTTGCCAAAGATGCCCAAAGGCAGACTGACCCCATGCCACCCCAGGGAAAACCTGGGCAGCTGCTGTTCCAGGGCAAACCACCAGATGCCCAGAGCCCTGAGGCTCCAGTATCCCACTCTGGGGACCCCTGAATCTTTTTGTGCATATGTTGAGACAGGGTCACTCTCCGAACCCGGAACTCACTGGTATTCAGCTAGGCTGGCTCACTCACAAGCTTCAAGCATCCCCCTGTCTCTGATCCCTCAGAACTGGGGTTACAGATGTATGAAGCTTTTTATATGGTTTTGAGGCTAGAATTCAAGTCCCCATGCTTGCTTGGTGAGTGTTTCACCAGTTGGGTCATCTCCCCAGCTTACCTACCTTCAGATCTTTCAAGTACTTAGTGGTTCTGGGATTCAGGGCCCCGTGTCCTGGGATCTCCACAGTCTTATGGGCCTTGAAACATGAACCATCCCCTCTTCCTACCTTGACAGCCCCTCTGACTTCAGCACCAACCCCACCAAAAGAATCACAGTCGCACAGTGGAGCTCAGGGCTGTGCAATTAGCCTGGACTCTCCCAGGATAATCACCTATAACCTGTGCCCTGGAGAACAACCTCAGAGGCCTGGAATGGGATCAGCCTGACCCAGGAGGAGAAACATAGCCTGTGGGTAAGCATGTGATTCCCAACGGGAAGCCAGAGTGAGGACAGACAGCCGTGACGTGACACAAAATCTCTCTCTCTAGCTCCAGATCTTAACGAGTGATTGCATTGCAATCACTTTATTAGGGAAATCAGTTTTCTCAATTCAATTTCCTAGCTAATTGCTGTGCGGACACTTCAGCAGGACAGTGCTGGCAGCAGCCTCATGCCTCTGGCTTACACAGAGTTCAGCAGCTCACTCACACACTACACGGTTGGCTTCGACAAGTGCATCTGTGAGGTGAGGGCCCAGGACAGCCTAACCTTCCAGCATGTTCATCATGGTAGGAACAGACCAGGGGTGCCCACTGAACCCTACCAGGGCTCTGAGACCCAGCCTCAATTTCTTCACATCCAAGGTGAGGAGTGGCAGAGGCCTGTGGACTTAAGACAGACATGTCACCTCACCGCAGACTTCACTGTCTGTCATCTTACCGCCTCTGTTACTAACATTATAATCCCTAACTGGTCATTCCTGTCCCCCTGTACAAGGACTCCTAAAATGCAAATGAAGCATTGAGTGAGATCACTTGGCATGATCCTGCCTAATTTGCATATGTAAATTGCCATCCTCCTTTCACTGGCTGCCTGGTAACCAACTCCCTGAAGTGTTCTGACAAAGCAATCCCTGCACTGATGTATACAAGGCAGGGTGCAGCGTGCCCTCTGCTTTCCTGGAGGGAACAAGTCTCCCTTTCTGAAGGGGTCTCTGGCAACACCACCCCAGATCCCCCAGATCTGTGTGCCCTGTAAGGGAACGAGAGCCAACCCACCTGGCAGGAGCTGATGCAGCTAGGGCCTCCCACAGGCCTGTCCTGGTGCTATGGCAAATAACCCACCCTTGTCCCCTCTGCCTCAGTCCCCCAGGATTGCTGTAAGATGGCACCACAACCCAGTGGCAGATGCACAACAGATCCTCGTGCCCAAATCTCTAGAGGTCAGAGGTTCAAGGTCAGAGTGCAGTAGAACCAAATCTAGAGAAGGCCCACCGCTTCTGGGCCTTAGCCCATAGTCAGCTCCATGCACCCTCCCATGGTAAAGGATCCAGGCCCAGATTCCGGGGTATCTGCTGTGGGGATGCACACTGCTCATGCATTCCCACCACCCTTCAGCCCCAAATAAGCACACGGATACTCTATTGATTATAAAACTGTTGGCCGATGGCTAGGGCTTCTTACTGGCTAGCTCCATCTTAATTATTAACCCATTTCTATAAATCTATGTGTTTCCACATGGACTTGGCTTATCGGCGAATGCCCGGATCTGTTACTCCTTTGGCGGCTACATGGCTTCTCCTCCTGGCAGCCTCTCTCCACCTTCTCTTCTTCATCTCCTAGCCCCGCCTACCTTTCCGCCTGGTCAATCAGTGTCTTAGTCATCAACCAATAAGAGAAACACATGCAGCAGGACACCCCCCATGAGCACACTCCCGCTCTCACAACTCTGTTACCCTCAGGCACCCATCTCTGTCGCTGCCTCCTTGGTGTCTGATTTCAGCACACCTGGGAGACTCAATCAGACATGGCATCGCCTTAGGTGGTATTGAGTAAAGCAAGGGAGCCAGTAGATGGGGCTGGCTGCTGTGCTGTCTGTGGCTGTGTTAGAAGCCTGTCGTCCTTGCTCTGCAGTCACCAAGGGAGTCACCTAGAGCCGCTGGCATCCAGCCTGCTGGTATATCAACCTGCCAGAGACACTGCTGTCTGTAGCCTTCCTGAGCCTCGCTGCCATCCTACCGTGTGGTGATGTCTTGCTTGTACAAAAAAGCTTGCCCGAAGATCAGAGGATGGAGCTCACCACTAGCTGACCATAGGACAGACAGGAAGTGAGGTGACTGGGCAGAGGCAGGAAGTGAGGTGGCTGGGCAGAGACAGGAGGCTAGGCAGAGACAGGAAGTGAGGTGGTTGGGCAGAGACAGGAAGTGGGGTGGCTGGGCAGAGACAGGAAGTGAGGTGTCTGGGCAGACACAGGAAGTGAGGCAGCTGGGCAGAGAAAGGATACAAGCAAGAAGGAACAGGAACTTGTTCTCTTTTCCGCTGGGAAGCTAATGAGGTAGAGGTGGCTTTGGCTTGCTCCTTCTCTCTGATCTCTCATCATTTCCCTCTATGTCTGACTCCAGGCTTTCATGGTTTAGACCAATTAAGAACTCCATTTACACAACAGTCCTCTGCCTCTGCCCTGAACCACCCCACAACCACCCCCTTCGGCTCAGAGGCAGGAAAGAACACTTGCCAGGTTTAAGAAACACACAGAAAGCCCAGACTCCCACCAGGAGCAAGTCACATGGGCGTGGAGGCAGAGCACAGTTTCTCACCCACCAGCATGTGCAACAAAAGGAAGCATGCAAAAGGAAGGCTCCACAGTCTACAGAGTGGGAGCAGGCACTAGACAGCCATGTCTGCTGTCTGGAGTCACTGCCTTGAGGAGTCATCAGAGACAGGCAACGGAGTGGGGAGACGCCACAGCTTCTAAAGTAATGGCGGGGTGGGGGGGATCACAGCACTTCCAGAATCAGCTGTCACTCCAATAAGTGTCCATCATTCATTTGGGTTAAATAGGGCCCCGGGATTTTTGAAGGACAAGAAGAATGCTAAGATGAAGGCCAGGTCCTCGTATACTAAGTGAGCAACCCTATCCGATGATCACCACGTAGCGAAAGATGCCATCTTTCCTCCTGATGCCTGACCCCCTGCGGCTCTCCTTCTTCTCTCCCAGAGAACTGAGGCAAGCACGGGCTGGTGGAGACTGTCCCCTTCCAGGGGTGCTCTCTGTCTCTGCCTGTCACCTCTGCTCTCTGAGGTCCCTGTGACATCTCCATGCACAAGAGACTGCAGCCCAGCACCTGCCTGGCCAGACGTTGGAAAGCCTTCCTTGGGTCCCCTCAGGAAGAAGGTTATCTGACACTGCTGGATGGAACCAGATTCCCCGATATACTGACATGATGGCGATGAGGTCCAGAGGCGATGAGGACCGGTGTGGCAAAAAAATACAGAACGATGTGTCATTTTGATTAGCTGCTGCCTTTGGTATCTGACTTTAAAGCCATGGTGATGGAATTTCCCTTAGGAGTATCAAGCAAGACTGGGCATTTCCACGTTCTCAGAACTCTGAACATTTTGCTTTGGGCAGTGTTGACAGCAGCCAAGACTATGGGAACTTTTGAAGTTGGACACTTTGTATCACGATGTATCTGTGAGAGACCAATGGCAGAATGCTGCGGTTTAAATGAGAAATGTGCCCCTTAGGCACATGTGTTTGAACACTTGGCCTGTTAGGGACCTTTAGGGGGTGGAGCCTTGATCCAGGGAATCCATCCTTGAGGGTCGGTGGGCTTTGAGAGTTTATAGCTTGAACTCATCTCCAGTTCTCTGTCTCCCTCCTGTGTGTAGATGGAGATGTGACCTGCTCAGACAGTCCTCTGCTCCAGCAGAGCACCCACTACCATGCCTATTCCACCAATATGGACTCTCCCATAAGCCCAAATAAGCACTCCCACCTATAAACTGCTTTTGTTCGTGACATTTGTCTTGGTCTGGTTCCTATCGCTGTGATAAAACACAGTGCCCAAAAGAAACAAGCAAAGGAAAGGGTTTACTTCAGTTTACAGCTCTCAGGTTGCAGTCCGTCACTGAGGGAAGTCAGGACAGGGACAGAAGGAGAGGACATGGAGGACAGAATCCCTGAAGAGAGCCCAGGAGAGGCTGCTGGTAAGGTGCAGCCCAGTTGCTGCGGAGAACCCAGCACCATGACGATGCCGGCACCGTGAGATACGGCAAGGACAGCAGCAGTGTGGAGCAGAGCAAGCCTGAGACTACGAGATGGGCTGTGGCTGGCAGACCTGGAGGCACGAGACGTCTAAGGTCTTTGACATCAGCTATTCACACTGTGGGGTCTAGTTTTGTGTTCCCTGGTTCAAAACTGTGTCCTGGTCGCTCGCTCTTGAAGTAAAAAGTGCTCCACTTCTTTTATTCTTTTATTTTTAAGGAACTCACATCCAGAGGCTTTGAATATTAAAAAAAAAAGAAACTTTGTGCTTTTAAGAAAACTTTGGATTTTGAAGAGAATTTGCACTGTTAAGTGATGAAAATGTCGAAAGCTGTGGGACGTTTAAAGTCACGCTGTGTTTACACTATGGTATTACAATGAGGTCTTGGGGGGTAAACAAGAAAGGAAAGGTTACAGTTTAGTTACAGGTTATGTGTGCCAAATTGACAAGGGATCAACTGGACTGGGGGGGTTGTTTTTGCTTTTGTTTTGTTTTGTTTGGTCCACTTGACACAAGCTGGAGCCATTTAGAAAGAGGAACCTCAGCTGAGAAAATGCCTCCATCAGATTGTCCTGTAGTCAAGTCTGTGGGACATTTCCTTAACTGACACTGGGTAAGAAAGCAGGCTGAGCTAGGCATGGGGAGCAAGCCCAAAAGCAACGCTTCTCCATGGCCTCTGCTTCACTTCCTGCCCTGAGTTCCCTCAGTGATGGAGTATGACCTGACAGTGTAAGAGGAAACAAACCCTTTCCTCCCCAAGCTGATTCAGTCAATAGTGTTTATCCGGGCAGTAGGAACCTAACTACGCGTTTTGTCATAGCAACCAAACAGTAACTGATACAGTATCTGTTCAAAGAACTGAAGCTCACCCGATTCCCAAACCCAACTCAGCAAAGTCCAGACTGGCTTCAAGTGAGCAGCAGGTTACATGAGGGGGAGTTCTCCAGAGGCTCCGGCCACTCCCTGGGACTTCCTCCTAAGAGCCCGAGAGGAGGAGTTGTTTGCTGAGCATTGTGGTGTGATTATTTCTCTATTTTAATTGATAGGCTTGAGTTACATAACTCTTTCTTCATCTCGAATGTCTTTTTCCCACCACGTGTCTGATTTTTAACTTGTAAGCACAAGACAGTAAATAATGCATTTTGAGGACATAGTTCACCTGCCTGAACAGGCATCCAAAACCCGTCCAGCCTAAATCAGCCCGCTGTCCCTAGTTCCCGGACATGTTCTGAGATGCGTCTGAATGGAAACCAACCACCGAAGGGGAGTTACTGCGGGCTTGGGGGACACTCTAGGTCACAGTCCGGTGTAGGCGGTGACCCCAGGTAGCTAAGTACTCTGTGCATGTGGATCTCAAGCCAAGCTAAGCTTTCCCTCTGCCTGGCTCCATGGGAATGTAATTCTGTGGAGGGACCATCGGGTCTTTCTCTTGCTGTAGCTCAGCTCCCAGGCCTGGCTGGCCAGCCGAATACAAGCTGCATGGTGCAGTGCCAAGCGCTGCTGAGAAGAGCTCTGCACACGGAATCTGCACTGCTGCTCACGGCAAAGGTCAGAGGTCAGAGGCATCTGCCACAACCCTCTTACGGAATGCAAAGCCTAGGCCCAGGACCGAGGGGCACATGAGGCCCAGACAGACAGGGGAGCATGAGCGGACATCTGCCCCCAGCCCTTATTACTGCACACATGGTCATGTCAGCATCAGGGATGCCACCTCAGGGTGCTGTTGAAAGCCCCACAAGTCCTTGTAGTTGTCCTGGGTCAGCATGGGACACGGCAGTGCTCTCTCCTTGACTGGGGGAAGTCCATGGCGCCCTTAGGAAAGGGGTTATAGGTGTCACTGTGACGGCCACAGCACTTCCTGCCGGGTGCACCCACGCAAATAAACACATATGCTGGAGCCTGCTGCACACTGGGTCACCTCCAGGGACTGGTGGCCCAGCGGCTGCCCCAGCCCGGCTTCCCTGAGCAACAGAGGCCTCTCCGGATGTCTGCAGGCAAGCAACGCTTTCGGGCAACAGCAGCCTTAGAGCCCCTGTGTCCTGTTCCTGCCCTTGGATGCTCTCCAAGACTGGGCATTGCTGACTGACCGGAAGAACCTCAGGGGCCATCCCTAGACGCAGGCTGCACATGGATGTCTCATACCCCGAAACGTCCCGTTCTCCAAAGAAAGCTTTCCAGGAGAGAGGAGAACCCCAGGGGCAGGGGTTCATTTGCTAGCAAAATACAATTTCCTGATTTGGGTGCCCGAGTCCCAGAGGAGAGCACCAGAGAGACCCCCGTCTTTTCAGAGCCATGAACGGCAGTGATGGAGTGAGTGTTAGATCAGCTGTTTCACACAGAGGGACAGACAGAGAGCCTCCCTGGAGACTCACCACTGGAGGAACCTGCTAGCCCCAGGTCAGAGGGTCCAGCAGTTCAGACCACCTATCGGAGACTCCCTGAGTGCTCTCAGTCACCATGCTGGCTCCTTCCCTCCATCCTGGGCTCCAAGTCACCTAGAACTCCTGGTAAGGACAAGCCAAAGCTGCAATTGGCTTAATTAATCGTAATGAGGAGGCAGACCTGCTACAAACACAGCACGTGACCCGTTTTAAATCCAGACAAAATTGACTTTGAGATTACTGTGAAGCTTAACCCAGCTGTCACACTTCTCAAACCATATTCAGAGCCCCAGGGCCTGTTCCCTTAGAGCCCCCGGCATGCTTGTCCCACCCAGAACCCTGGCTCCTGGCTGAGGAAAAGGAAATTAGGCTCCAAGCAGAAACATGATGAAGCCATAAACGCAGAGCCCCCAGATCCCCAAGAAGGAAGTCACAGAGAGGCAAACACTGTCGTCCAGGAAGCATGGTACTTTGTCATGGAAGAGCTGACCCACAGGGATGTGTGGGTCCTGTTTGATATGGCATCCTCCAGGGAAGATGAGCAGAGGTCAGGCCCTGGCAGGGGAGGGGGATTAACACAGCAGAAAGAGATGGGAGATGACCTCAGCTCCTTGCAGAATGGAGTCCGATGCCATCCACCAAACCTGTGTGCTGGCGTCA